CGTATAACCCGGAATTACACGAATTAAGGTGAAACGAGAGTTAAATAAAAATTTCACTTGACATTTGAATATGACAATTACTTAAAAATATTAAATTTACAGACTCTGGATCGCGACCCATTTAAAAATATTTTCAGAGTAATGCGGAAGTACAATAATAATCAAATCATGACACATTTTAAAATCTGTTGACCAAACATTACCTGCCATCCTTGCATCTCTTCTGACTCAATGCCCTCCGGGAAAGGTTCCATCATTGTCTTTTTGTTACCTACGTGTAGTCAACGAAAAATACAAACTACACGCTCAGCGAAACCGCTGAGTGGTACCACGCTAGAATTGTAGAATAATTCATAGACATATGCGTATATATATGTCCACAAAAATATATAACAATATTCCTGATATGACACTTTATATCATATGGTCAATTTGATGAATCATGATGATAAATATTTAATGATAATTGCATGATTATGGCACATTTAATTTAATCAATTTGATTGTTCTTGATGATGATTACATGACGCCTATGTAATCAATATAATTGTTCTTGATGAGGATTACATGATGCGTAATTGATGTTACACATAGTCATGATGATTTTACTTGATGATGACTTCATGCTGTATGATTCTAAGTCAACAAGGAATGACCTTGCAACTATGAGATTCGCCCATTTGGTACGACGAGCTCATGTCCTTCTTAGTCTCACGAGGGAGACTAGAAAAATAGGGGTGGTACTCGAAAGTCTGAATACCATGTACGTACACTAAGCCCGGTCAGGGTTGTCGGACTACTAAGTCCCGCACAACCACGCTATAAGAGACGCAATTACGCATGATCTCTTACGCATGCATATGATACGATATGCTACAATATGTGTGATGATATGAGTCATATGATATGAACAATTTGTAAACAATATGAATGGATAAATATACTTTATTTTATTTGGGTGCAATCTGATAAAAATATCATTTAATTAAGCTACAGGGCTCGAAACGGTCGACCGTTTCGCGCGACGGTCGACCTTGGTCTTCATCAGGTCGGATTGGCGGATCACCGTGACGGTCGACCGTGGTTGACTGGCAGTCGACCGTTGTTGACTTCTTCAGTGTGGCTGCGTTTGGCTGAGCTTCGGCGGTCGACCGTTTTATCGACAGTAGTAGTCCGTTTTGATGTTTAATACGACGGTCGACCGTTTGCTTCGACCGTTTGGGTCTGCGAAACTTTCTCTTAATATTTTGAGTGTCCAAAATACTTCTTTAAGTCTTTTAAACACCTCTGATTGAAATATACATATTATTGGGTCGATTCCCAAAGTTTATATTACTTATGTGTATATTAACTTTATGGATTTGGTGCATTTTGGTCTTAACATATAGATGACTTATATATGCATCACATATATAATTTGGGATGATTTAAACATATGGATTAACATATAAGTTCATGTACGTATGTGATGAATGATTCGACAAGTCTAACGCAAAAGTACAGACCTGGAAATCATAGGCCGAAACCTTACGGATGAGCGGGAGTGGAAACAACATCGAAATTTGCCAACTTTGTCATTCTCGTCACAATTGGACAGCCTGCCGTATTTTGGTCATATCTCCATTGTTTCTTCACGGAATTGCAAACCGTTTGATTCTGTGGATTCCTAAGATGTAAGGCTATAACTTTCGTATAGAAAGTATTTCGAGTTAACAGATGTAAGATGGCGTAAATCAGACCTGAAGTCAATGGATAGTTGCTGTCCAGGATTTTGGATATGTCGATGAACAACGATTCCGACGATTAACTCATTAACTTCAATATTCCAACACCGAACCTTCTCTATGATACCTCCCGGATGTTCCTAATAATCGTTAGAGAGTTTATGATGAGTATTTGGAATGAAATAATATGAATTTGGTGAAGAAACACATGCCAACCCGAGGAGCTCGCCACCACTGGCGCAGTCCCGATATTTTTGCCATATCTTCTTCGTTACTTAACAAAATCGCGAGCCGTTTCTTGGGCTGGATTCGTATCGTCCGGGGCTACAACTTTGATTCAGAAAGTATTTCGAGATAATGAATGGAAAATTTCAGTTTTTACCTAGAAGTGGGCTGCTGTGTTTGAACTCAAGATTTTAGAAACTTTAGCTACCTTCTTCTTGCTCCTTCTTCTTCCTTGACATGAATCATGGAGTTGGAATTTTCTTTTTTCTTTCCTTGGTGCCTGACCAACAGAGAGAGAGAGGTGAAGAGGAGAGATGATTGATGATGATGGTGGTGGTGGAAGATGATGATGATGATGGTACGAATTTTGGAATCATATATAGAAAAGTGGACTTATCATGTAGTGGAAGGTTGAGTGGGTTTTATTGGTGACTAATTAGAGATTTGAGGAGATTGGTGCGTGATTGAGAGAAATATGGAGATTTTTAAATATTCTCCTACTCCGTAACTGATAAATTGGCTAAAACGGTACGCGCTTTTTCGCCCAAACTGCTCCGAATTGGAAACAGATTGTGTTTTTGGAATGAGACTGTCAAAACTAGAATTTTGATGTAATCAGAATATTTTTCTGAAAACTTTTATTTTTATTTAATCTCTGGGTCTGTCTCAGTCATAAATAAATTTTATAGTATGAATGAGATATAAATATATGAATTAAATCCAAATGATAAATATGGTGTTGTCAAGTGTCAAAAATTAAGATTTCTAATCTTATGAAATCTCTTTTGAATTGAGTTTATTTTATGGGTCAAAGTTACAAATTTTAATATTTAAAATCGTCATATCTTCAAATCTATAAATCAGATTGGTTCATAAAATGTACCATTGGATTCGTCTCTTTGAGACATATCCATAAAAATAAGTTTTTAACAAAAATTCCTTATTTTGAAAATCCATTTATTTTTGGTCAAACATATAAATAATCCTTATTGGACAATAATATTCAAAACTACTTTTGTTTTATAAAATTTAGGCCATATTTTGTGGCGTTACACAAATCATGTACGGTAGAACGTCTTAGTGACAATAATACGATTCTTCGTGGTGATAGAATTGATAACATTTACATGGTTAACTTAGATGAATCTCCCTCCAACTTTGCAAAATGTCTCATGAGTAAGGAGGACGATATGTGGCTATGGCATCGTAGAGTAGCTCATGTCAACATGAATCTTTTGAATAAATTGGTTTCACAAGACCTATGATGTACCTAAGCTTAAGAAAAGCTATGGATGAATAAGGGAAGATTAAAGATGGGAATATATGGTGAAGAATAGGTTGAATTTGTGTATGAAATGGTGAAGAAAGTATGGTTGTTTGGAAGAGGTGATAGGGTGGAATGGAGGGCAGGAGAAAGTCAATATTTGGAGTGGTTTTTTGATGAAGAAATGAAGTGTTTAAATGGGAGAAAGGGGATGCACGAAATTGGGAGAGAAAGAGGGAGTTCTTTGGTGGTTTTTGTTGGATAAGGATAAACCAAATAATAAATAGGAGATAAACACACTCTTATTTTATTTGGGGCTGTTTCTTTTCACACAATAATATTCACTATTATTATATGAAATAGACTCCTAACACACACTCAAAAGTAGCCAACTTTAGAGATATTTCATTAGGAAATGGGGAGAACTAGCTTCACACTAATTCAGATATTTTACTCAAGGAGTAAAGAGAATAAGAATACAATATGGTGCTGCATTACAAGGCCCTTGGCCGAAATAAATAAGGGGAAGAAAAACTAAGGGGAAGCTTCCTACCACTTTCCTAGAATCAAGTGTATAATATCCATTTGTTTGATGCCTTTGGTTTGTCTTCATTGATCAGTGTTAAAGGGTGAATATGGGGTGTCTTTGATGAGGGGATTTCGGCCATGTGAAGGGTGAGGGAAGGGGGTGGTTTGGTTATGTGAAGGGTGAGGTGAGGGGCTNCCTCTTGTAGTGGGGGATGTTTGTGATGGATGGGGACTGATTTTAAGGACAAATGGGGGCATATTTTCGTGACTTTGAAGTAGGAAGGGATGGGGAAGGTTCTTATTTGATGAAAGGAATATTTAGGGAAGAAAACAACACTCACATTATTTTGGGTTGTACTTTTCCTTTCAATTTTGGCCAGGGCTTCAAGGGAGAGGAAAAGGGCTTTATTTGAGTAGTAAAAATACTTTGGATATGTGGGAGTGGGTTGGGCTTGTAGGCATTTCGGCCTAGGTTGGGTTTTGGGAGAGTTAGGTCATGGTTTGGGTTTTGGTGTGGGATGGATCAATGAGTTCAACCCAAAATGGATCATAAGACCTAGACATTAAACACTTGATTTCTTTTAATACTAGTGGCATGTGTGAAGGTTCATCCCGGGGTATATCAACCTAGTATTTGGCCTTCCAAAACTCAAGTTTGAGAAGGACACCATTTGTGATTCATGTCAAAAGGGCAAGCAAGTAAGGGCCTCATTTAAATCGAAAAATGCTGTGTCTACAACAAGGCCCCTACATTTTTTGCACATGGATCTCTTTGGACCATCAAGAACAAAAAGTTTTGGGGGAAACTATTTCGCCTTTGTGATTGTTGATGACTACTCTCGATTCACATGGACTTATTTCTAACTCATAAAAGTGAGGCATTTCATGTTTTCAAAACTTTTCTCAAAAAGGTTCAAAATTAAAAAGGCTTAATCACCGTAGCCATACGAAGCGATCATGGTGGAGAGTTCGAACGAGATCTCTTTACCGAGTTTTGTGACGAACTAGGCATCGAGCATAACTTCTCCGCTCCACGTACACCACAACAAAATGGCATGGTGGAACGTTAAAATCGTTGCCTTGAGGAGATGGCTAGAACTATGCTTGATGAGGCAAAACTTTCTAAGTATTTTTGGGCGGATGCCGTGAGTACCGCGAGCTACGTGTTAAACCGAGCCGTCATTAGACCGATACTCATGAAAAACCCCATACGAACTATACAAAGGAAGAAAGCCAAACCTCTCCCATCTTCGAGTCTTTGGTTGCAAATGTTTTGTTCACAACAACGAAAAAGATAATTTGGATAAATTTGATGCAAAGTCGGATGAAGGAATTTTTCTTGGTTATTCATTGCGTAGTAAGGCTTATAGAGTCTTCAACAAATGCACCTTAACCGTTGAGGAATCTCCTCATGTTGTCTTTGCCAAAAATGATGCTCGCTTGGCGAGAAAGGTTTCTTGTGATGATCTTATAGATTCGTTGGAGAACATCTATCTCAACGACGATGACGAAGTAGACAACTCAAAGGAAAGTCAGGATGAAGAAGTAGAGCCACCCGTAAACGAGGAACAACCACAAGAGGAGGAAACGCCAATGCCAAGGGCATGGAGGACTTCAAAGAACCATCCTCTTGACAAGGTGATCGGTGACATCAACCGAAAGGTAAGTACTCGTAGCTCTCTTAGGGACACTGTAGGTCACATGGCTTTTGTCTCTCAAATTGAACCTATAACCATTTCGGAAGCAATTGATGATGAACATTGGACCTTGGCAATGCAAGAGGAGCTTAACCAATTCAAACGAAATGACGTTTGGGAATTGGTGCCAAGACCTGATGACCACACCATAATTGGTACGAAATGGGTGTTCCGTAACAAACTCGATAAATATGGAATAATCACTAGAAACAAAGCTAGGCTCGTAGCTAAAGGCTACAATCAAGAAGAAGGCATTGATTTTGAAGAAACTTATGCACCAGTAGCACGTTTAGAAGCTATTCGCTTATTACTCGCTTTTGCTTCATCTATGGATTTTAAGCTATACCAAATGGATGTTAAGAGTGCCTTCCTCAATGGCTTTATTCAAGAGGAAGTGTATGTTGATCAATCCCCAGGCTTTGAGGATTTTGAGCACCCGGAGTATGTCTATAAACTAAAGAAAGAACTCTACGGTCTTAAACAAGCACCTCGTGCTTGGTATGAGCGTTTGAGCAAATTTCTTTTGGACAACAGGTTCAAAAGGGGGAAGGTCGATACTACACTTTTTATCAAGAGTAAAAACCATAACATCCTCTTGGTGCAAGTTTACGTAGATGACATTATATTCGGTGCTACTAACGAATCTTTGTGCAAGGAACTTTCAAACTTAATGACAAATGAATTTGAGATGTCCATGATGGGGGAACTCAATTTCTTCTTGGGGTTACAAGTCAAACAAATGAGGGAAGGGACCTTCATTTGTCAATCAAAGTATTGCAAGAAGCTTCTAAAGAGATTTGAAATGGATGGCTCCAAAGCAATGGCTACCCCAATGAGCACCTCCGAGCACCTGGACAAAGATGAAAAGGGTAAGGAAGTAGATGTAAAGAAGTATCGAGGCATGATCGGATCCCTTCTTTATCTTACCGCTAGTAGACCCGATATCATGTTTAGCGTTTGCTTATGTGCAAGGTATCAATCTTGTCCGAAAGAATCGCACTTAACGGCGGTGAAACGGATAATGAAATATCTTGTTGGTACAATGAACGTTGGACTATGGTACCCCAAAGGGTCTCCTTGTCATCTTTTTGGCTATTCCGACTCGGACTCTGCCGGTTGTAGGTTAGACCGTAAAAGTACAAGTGGGACGTGTCACTTGCTTGGTAGTTCTTTAGTCTCATGGTTTAGCAAGAAGCAAGTCAGTGTTGCGTTATCCAAAACCGAAGCGGAATATGTTGCCGCCGGTAGTTGTGTTGCTCAAATCCTTTGGATGGAGCAACAACTTGTGGATTATGGCCTTAGTATCGATCACGTTCCTCTTCGATGTGATAATACTAGCGCCATAAGCTTGACGAAGAATCCGGTTCTTCACTCAAGGACGAAACATATTGACATTAGGCATCATTTCATTAGAGATCATGTTCTCAAAGGTGATGTCGAAATTGAGTTCGTTGAAACACACAACCAATTAGCCGACATTTTCACAAAACCTTTAGAGAAAGAGTCGTTCTTCCGCATTCGTAGTGAACTNCCTCTTCGATGTGATAATACTAGCGCCATAAGCTTGACGAAGAATCCGGTTCTTCACTCAAGGACGAAACATATTGACATTAGGCATCATTTCATTAGAGATCATGTTCTCAAAGGTGATGTCGAAATTGAGTTCGTTGAAACACACAACCAATTAGCCGACATTTTCACAAAACCTTTAGAGAAAGAGTCGTTCTTCCGCATTCGTAGTGAACTTGGAATCCTTGACTCCACGATGATCTAAGTTGTGCATTAAATATCATTTTTTATCCTTACTAACTTAAACGTCGGAGAAGTTTTCAATTTTTTTTGTAGGGCTCTTCTTTTAATTTTATTTTCAGGTGTCAAAGTCAGGGGGAACAAAAGAAATCGATTTCAAGTTCCCAAGACTAAGTATAAATCGATTTACAGGTTGTGATAATCGACTATCACAGCCCGCGGAAGATTGGAGCAAAGAAACTGAAGGAGCCAACAATCGATTATCAACATTAGAATAATCGACTATCACTGCCCGTAGAAGGTTGAAGCAAATCAGGCGCAAACCATCGATAATCGATTATACATATTGTGTAAATCGACTATTGCAGCCTGCAGTTCTTTCGGCGGAGATTCTGAAAACTCCGATAATCGATTTACATGTTATGTTAATCGATTTACAACGGTAGATTTTCAAAAATCTGACCGTTTTCTAGCCGTTTGGAGAGCAATTAATGCATGTTTTGAACTCCCCAACGGATCTCCAGACCTCTCCCTTATAAATTGGTGATATCTATTCCACTTTTACTCATTCCAATCAACTCTTCTCAATATTTTCTTCATACTTCATCAATCCCTACAATTTTTTCTTCATTTTCTCTGCAAATTTGCCTTGCTCTCCTCCCTATTTTGTTGAAATGGCAGGAGGACAAAGAAAGCGCTCCCGCACCGGCAAGAACGCCGCATCCTCCTCAGCTCCTCCATCATCGACGCACAAGTACCTCGACGGGTCGTTCCTTTGGTTCAACGACCGCGCAGAGGCTACGAGGTTCTCGGAGAAGTTTGAGCACCGGGAAATTCTCCCTCCCTGATTCTCCACCGCCCGCTTCATTCATGACTCCATTCCACGTGAGGCACGGGTTATCCTGAAACGTGGAAACTTCCTCGACCTCCTCTACATCAAGAAGGCTCATTATCACCCTTTTCTTGTTCGAGCTTTCTACTCGAACTTGAAAAAGGATGAGGACGGAGCGTTGATCTCTAACGTCAACGGGGTGGACATTTATTTGAATGAGGAAAACATTCAAATCCTCACCGGGCTTCGTCGGGACGGACAGGATCTCGGGCTCTACGTCGGAGCAGAAGGAGCGCGGTTCAACGAGACCGCCCTCTTGGAGGAAGTGGGCATCAAAAACTTCGTCCCCACTCCCCAACAGCGGCGCCCTACGAATTCTTCCATGAGTCCCGTGTTTCGATTCATTTTTTATGTTTTGACACGGATTCTCAAGCCTAGGAAGTTCAATCACACCACTCTCTCCCAGGAGCACACGAAGACAATTCATGCGATGATTCGCAACGCCAATCTCAATTGGTGTAAATTTGTGATGACTCACATGTTCACCGCCACCTCCGACAATCGGCCGCTCCCCTACGCCCTCCTCGTCATGGCGATTCTTGAAGAGTATAACATCAAAACCGATGTTGGGCCAAAGATAAAGGGGACAAAGCATTGGGAGATTGATGAATCCTCTTTCCACTCGGGCACCGACGAGACTCTGTTTCGACAGCCTCGTCCACGCCGCCAACCGAGAGCCACTGCCTCGAACGCCACCGCTTCGACCAATCCTTCTCTCGCCGAGCAAATGGCAGCCTTGACCGCCACTCTCTCTCGGATTCACACCAACGTCTCCCAAACGGCCCAAAATGTAAATATTTTGAGCCGAGAGCTTCACGGGTATTTTGACTTTGTCAATTACCCTTACGCTCAAATGGTCCCCTACGCTCCTCCACCGAATGTCGGGGGTGCACCAAGCGGGACTAATAACATTGGGGGAGATGAAGAGGTGGACGATGAGGAAGAGGAAGAAGAAGCCAAAGATGATGATGAAGACGATGAAGAAGAAGACATTGACGAAGACCAACTTCTCAATGATCTTTCACCGGACTTCTAGAGCTCTAGCTCTATTCCCTTCTCTTCTTTATTCTTTTTATGCTTTTTAAATTTGCTTCCGTTATGTACTCCGCTATTTCCCTTAATTAATTAATAAAAATCTTTATGGTTTTTGTTATAAAAAATCTTTTTGTTAATGTCAAAAGGGGGAAGATAAGGGCTATGCATATATTAAAGGGGAATTTGTTTTTCAAAAAGATCAAAACCCTATGCATATCCCTGTCTTGTTTGCCATTATAAAAAAGGGGGCAATTGTTGGAACACACTTTGTACGATAAACTAAAGTCGTGTTCATTTCTGACAGGTTTTGATAATTGCCAAACCACCATAGATATGAAGAGTTTCGTTGAATAACTCAAGGCATGAAGAATGGCTTGGAACTAGACCAAAAAGACTCAAGGACAAGATCAAGAATTGAAGACTTAGTCGAGTCGGTCTTTTGTGATCAAAACCGACAATAAATTCAAGTCTCGGTTCTCAAAGAGTCAAAACAATTTTTTACAAATCATAAAATATTTTTTGTGCATCAACCAACTCTGGTGCATATCCCTTTCGTTCGGCTTTCGGCTTTCGGCGTTCGGTGTTTGGCGCCCGAACCAACTCCGTGGTTTTCAATGTTTTAAACCCTGTTTTTACCTCTGAACATTTTTAAAATGTCCCCAAATAATTCTTTTATAAAAACCACTTTTGTATCTTGGTCATTCGGTCTAACACGTGAAAAACGGTCAAAACCGTACGCACGTGATGTACGACCTTGGAGACTTGGTTTTTACCGAACAAGTCTTGTTTTCACTATTTTATGCCATATACAATGTTTTTCAAACTTGGTTTTTACTTTTGGGAACACTTCGTTTTTGGACCTCGGTTTTTCCAAACGGGTTTCAGCTGGCTAGACTTTAGCTGGGTGATAATCGATTATCACCTTAGTGACAATCGACTATCAGCCTCTACAGCTTTGAGCTTCCAAAGTTCTGAAAGACGCAATAATCGATTATCACTTATGCAATAATCGATTATCAGCCTTTGCAGCCAAAACCCATAATCTTCTGAGAGGACCAATAATCGATTATCACTTGTTGACAATCGATTATCTGGGTTACCGTTGTCATCCAACGGATAGAATTTTAAATTTTTGGACAAGGAATCTTTTCATAATCGATTATCAAGCTTGGATAATTGACTATCAGCCTGTGTCCCCGAAAAATTTGTCTTCATCCTGTTGGAAACTCGAGCAACGGGTTTATCCCATTTTGGGCTATAAAATGACACCCAAATCCTCTCATTTTATACACAATTCTTCAACATTTATATACTCTTTCATTGCATAAGCATTCCTATTTTTCTTAGCTATTTGAGAGCCAATTCTTGAAGAAATTGTCGTGTTCTTGAGCGTTTACTAGTTCACTCATATCTACTCTTTGTGAGAATTTTATTCCTGAGTGTTTAAGTGTTTCTATACACTTTAAGGGAGATTGTTCCCTTGTCGTAAACTCGAAGGAAGTCTTTCGTTCCTTCGTGAGAAGTCTTGGAGTGCGGTATCTCCAAGCAAAGGCGTTGAGGCTCGTGTGACTCGAGTTCTCAAGTTGTATCGGTTTGTTGAGCACCTTTAAGCTTAACGAAGTTAGTGTAACTCGAGAGAGTCTCTCGAAAGGCTGGATTAGCCACACGTTGTGGTGAACCAGGATAAAATTCGGTGTGCTCCTTCCTCACGCTCTTTACTTTATCACTCTCGTTTTAATTTCCTGCGATTTTGTTTTAAACGCTATTCACCCCCCTCTAGTTTTGGGCCTTTATTCTAACACTTCCCCCCTTTCATTTCCTTAAGCTAGGGCCGAAACACACCAAGCCAAACATCCACATTCATTCACCCAACATCCAACCACCATTGTCCCTCTCATGTCCCCTAATAAAGCCGAAAGAACAAACATAATAAGCCAAGGAACATTTGTGATTGCTTTGACCCTTAAACACCCTTGAACAAACATAATAAGCCAACAAATATAATAAGCCAAGGAACATCATATAAATTACCATATAAAATCCATCCATCACACACCCAATTGTCCCCCCTTATGATCGAATGATTCACCACCTCAACCACCAAATATTCACCATAATAACAAGCCAAAATACCCACACATCACCCATTCCTTTTCTTCCCTACAATATGGCCAAAAATCCCATTCATTCAAGGATATTCATTCATGATCTTTGGTCCCATTCAATGACAACCCTTAGCCAAGACATCACGCCCAAAATCCCCGATTTTATTCCAACGAAAGGACTCAAAACTTGGCTTTATTTTCAAGGATTTGTGGAGGAAATAGCTTGGTAGTTTCCTATGTATGTGTGTGTGCCTTTAAATTTTTTCCACAGGCCTCTTGTAATACTCACTTTTTGTAATCTCCATTTTCTTGAGTAATACACTTCTTGTGTTTGCTATTTTAAATTCCTAAAATCTATATGACAATTGTAGTTTTTCAAGTAGCAAACCTTCCCAGTAAAGGGTTAGTTTTCTCTCCGAGTGTCGTGTCTCTCGAGGAGTGGACGAAGATAATCAGTTTAATTACTCTAACTAGGTGAAGGTTAGGATTGGTTTATGAAAGTCTTCTCGAAACGATTATAAAAAGAGCAGAGTAAAAAAAATAAATTAGTTTTACATAGTATAAGTGCATATCTGGACCTAGGATCTAGACATCATTTGGATTTATTTTATCATATTAAATCAACAATTGGAATAATAATATTTCTATTACTACTCATCCATTTCTAGATTTGTACTTAATCCGTTGTTCTTGAATATCGTAGCCTTTTAGCATACAATATTTTCTAAATAAATAGCTAATTAAATCTTTCGAGAATAATTAACTAAATAAGGCAAGAACAATTGACTAACCATTCCAACATTAATTTAACATCAAAAATAAACAACCAAACTAGTCCGGACCCAGAGATCCGGACCCTAACTCATACTATGCAAACACAAATTAAAACAACATTTTATTAAATAAAGAAAACTTACTACTTCCGTAAAAGCGGAACAGAACAGATTAGGAGTCAAATCCTCCGGAAAATACTTAAAAATAATAACTAAACTAATATACAATGAAATATTGACTAAAATAGTGGAGAAACCCGAAATGGGTTGTGAGATGGTTGGTAAAAATGAGAAGAATCATGCTGTATTTATAGGAACGAATCCAAGGCGTCCAAGTGCAAGCGTCCAGATCTGGACGCCTGAGCTATCCCGGCCAACCAGATTTTGCCACATGTCATTCTTGGGCTGCAATTAAGCCAAAGCGTCCAACTCCCAAGAGTCCAAGTTGGACGCCTTGAGGCCTTGGTCCGTTGGGCTTCGCGGCTGTTTCGTGATTTTGGCCCAATTTCGCTCCGTTTTGGTCCCGAACACTGTTTTTGACCTCCTGGAAGCTCGTTCAAGCCCGAATCTTGATCCCTTGATGATTTATTCCCTTTTTCTCAAGTATTTGAACATAAAATGGATGATTTATGATAATTTCATGTGGAATCCCTTTTCATGACTCTTAGAACGAAAATGAGAGTTTTATTCATTGAAAACACATTTTATGAGATGATTAAATACTATTTACGTGCAATAACGTTTAGAATATGATGTAAATGATAAGAACGAAACGGACTTATCAAATTCCTCACACTTAAACGTTGCTTGCCCTCAAGCAACAAATTGAATAATTACAAGTATAAAGGCAAATTAATAATTGCAGAGGGAAGGTTTAAGCTACATATTATGAAGGAAAAAANGGAAGCTCGTTCAAGCCCGAATCTTGATCCCTTGATGATTTATTCCCTTTTTCTCAAGTATTTGAACATAAAATGGATGATTTATGATAATTTCATGTGGAATCCCTTTTCATGACTCTTAGAACGAAAATGAGAGTTTTATTCATTGAAAACACATTTTATGAGATGATTAAATACTATTTACGTGCAATAACGTTTAGAATATGATGTAAATGATAAGAACGAAACGGACTTATCAAATTCCTCACACTTAAACGTTGCTTGCCCTCATGTAACAAATTGAATAAATACAAGTATAAAGGCAAATAAATAATTGCAGAGGGAAGGTTTAAGCTACATATTATGAAGGAAAAAAAGAAATAAGATAGTCATCAACCTTTTTGTTAAGAAGAAATGAACCTTTAGATTCTCACCCATATTGTTAGAAATGTAAAAGAATTTTGTCAAATCAATATTTTTACACCAACCTAAACAACCATAATTTTCCAAACTTTCTTTGGGATAACTACATTTGTAAGAGTACTTTAAAGATCAAATAATTTTTTTAATGACTAAATTGGAAAACATGTTCTTGCAAAGGTATTTGTCAAACTGTTAGGGTTTCATTTTCTTTGGCACAACTTTGTCGTGTTGACACGAGAAAAATTTATAGTCTCATCCCGTGACATAGAACCACGAGCTTTTTGGATATTCACTCTGGAAAGTCTCATCACACGACATAGAACCGCATGCTTTTTGACTCTAACACTCAAAAGGCCTCATCACGCAATATAGAACCACGTGCTTTTCGGCATACTCACCACGCCTCATCAGTTGACCTAGAACCAACTGCTTTTTGGCTAAAACAAGAATCTCGGTCTCACCAAAGTATACTTTGAAACATCAACCCTTATACTTTGAAAATAACTCTTTTCAAGAAGAAGACCTCTAGACTAGATCTTAGAATGAACTTATGAAAACATGAATAGTTGATGGATTAGATAAAAATGCATATACGGGATTCGTAGTCCAAACTAGAGGATCACTCGTTTGGGAATGCCCGATCCAATGTTGATCATTCGCTATATTGTTGTTGCCTTAACTAACTACAGTTAAGTGTCTCAAATCATTTGCCTTAAACTAATGATAGTTTAAGTGTCTGATTGCCTTAACTGACTACAGTTAAGTGTCCGAAATCAATTGCCTTAAAGTAATGATAGTTTAAGTGTCTGATTAATAATTGCCTATTAAGGATCTGGTTATGAAAATTATGATTTGGCCTTAGACTAAGAATAGCTAAGAACATTATTATGATCTGGCCTTAGACTAAGAATAGCTAAGAGCGTTGTTATGATCTGGCCTTAGATTAAGAATAATTTAAGAGCACTATTGAAATAGAATCTGAATTGAATAAAATATGTTGATATGAAC